CACACACACTCAGCTACACACACACACACACACAGCTACACACACACACACACAGATACACACAGATACACACAGATACACACAGATACACACACTTCTTAAGCTTCTAAGTGAAGTTTCTTGTTCACAGCCACCACGAGGTCCTCAGAAACCACACTGAGGATTCAGTGGAAGCTGATTGACTGGAAACCAGCCGGCCTGCTATAGTTGAAGTGACAGTCCAGTGAAAAATCAAATTTGCTGTTTTCCCCCCTTTAAATCAAATGTAGTTCATCAGCCAAGACACTTTTAGAGTCTGATGTCTGTTCGTTCAGTTTTGCACTGAAGCTACGAGGCTATTTACACCAGTTAGCGCCGTGCAAACCGCAGGCCTGCATCACCACACACACGCCTCACACCGTGCCGAGTTTTTCTCAAATTTCATGTCCACCTCTGATGTTTGGGTGTTTCTATGTTCTCAAAAACACAAGTTATATGTTATAAGTCATAAGTTTGCTAAACCTCTCTTTATCAGTCACAAGTGAACAGGCTGTTTTGTGTTACTGTGCCTTTAAGAGTGGCATATGTAAATGAGCTCTGTTCTGATTGGCCCTGTATTGTGGCTAGTTCAAAAAGCAGTCCACTCCTTATAACCTCAGTGTGAATAAACAGAGCTAAGCTGCTGTCAGCTGAAGGTGGATGTATGGGATATGAGTGACATCACAAAAACAATGAATTCACAACAGGCTGGTTTTGCAGCTTAGTTTCCATACATAGAATGTATGGACTGGAGTGGATGGTCTGTTTTGAGCATTTAACAATGTCTACATGGGTTATTCTCCATTTGGAGTGGGAACTCAGGTGAACACATTTATTAAAAAATCAATTTCTTTCATCCCAAAACTAAATCTTAACATCTCCTATTGTCATATATGCAGAATGGAGAGCTTAATTCCAAACATATTTTACAGTCCCTGGTGTTATATTAATATGGTGTAACACCATAGCGACGGTGACTCCAGTGACAATCTGGTTAAATCTGAGGATTCAGTAAATTGGCTGACTCATTGGTGATCAGGTGACCTTGTGCAACTATTTAAAATCAGTAATAAAAATGATAAATGATGTTATTTTGACCATTTTAATTACCCAGCCATTAAAGCACATAACACAGATGACACATTGAATTTATGAGCTGCCTGATAAACAGAATTACTAATAAATTAATGAAATATAGTGAGTGAGCGTGACTCGCCTTCTCATGCCTCGAAATGCTTCCTTTCTGAAGAGCCTCGACCCGAAAAAGCAGTTTAATAGAGCTGAAAATACTGTGTTAAGAGTCCTGATAACACCAGTGACCAAAATGTCTGAAAAATGATTTGTTTTTTAAAATAAAATACATATTTTTTAATGTAGCATAACATTAGTGATATAAAAAGTAAATGTGAATCTGTTTTATACAAATTCCTAAGTTAAGCCTATTAAAGATAGTGTTATTCGTTAAAAAATGGTTGAAAATTGATTTTGTGATGAGCCGTTTTACAGATGCAGAGTGACAGAAACAGGATAAACAAAGAAAAATCTGAGAAATCATAAGGAAAAAGTGTTATTTAATCTTAGGTCAACTGTGTAAATGTACATACTGACTTTTGGAGCTCTGCCTAATATTTTAAGCATCTTTTTAAGCCCTACAACCTTTGTGACATGGTTTCCCACTCCAAACGAAGAATGACCCAGATGCTACATTAAACTCTAATTTCATAAAAGCAAGGAAAATTCATTTTTCCATGATACGGTCCTTTAAGTCACGTGAAACTGTGTGAATGTAATTTTTTTTAAAACTGTTCCTTTAATGATGTATCGCATTTGAACTCTGAAGATCTTCTAAGGTTGAACTAATAGACTTAAAGAAAGCAATAAAAAAATGAATGAACTATCCAGAGCACAGTTCACACATTCAGAGTGAAAGGGGTGACACATGCAGGATATGGAGACAGACAGATGAATGAAGTGATGCATAAACGCAACAAAAGAACAGTATGGATCCAACAAACTGCCTTACGCCACCACCCACAATCCCCTGGGAGTGGACACCCAGAATATCTGCTGCTATTCTGAGCTCCACATCATCGCCACACAAAAAAACACTATAAAGCTGCACAATATATCATTTGTCATCTGTTATTGTGGTATTGGCCTGCAGAAGGCCCTCTAACCAATCAGAGTGTATTTTACTGTGTGCTGTGAGCATCCCAACCAATCACAGCTCCAGATGGGTGTTTTTTTAATAAAGCATTCATTCCACCGATTTTCTACATTTCTATCTAATTCAGTGTTTGAGATGTAAACAAAGTCATTCAGAGTGGTTTGATGTGAAAAGGCTCATTGTAGAGACTCAGATTTCTTTAGAGAGGTGGTGATAGGAACCACGAGTCGCCATGACTACAACACAGATATAGCCATTTTATTTACTATCCAAAACCACCAGTGAACCAACACGAGTCTTCTGAGTTTATATGTGATGTTAATGATGGTAAAATAGTCATAAATCTGAAAAAATAGTTTTCTCTGGGGACTAGTTTGCCCTAAAAACACCCTTTATGTATCCCTCCACCATAAATGGATTAAAATAAGTTGATTAAAATATGTTTCAGACCACAAAACCCTCGTGAAACAGTGTCTCAGACAGCAGGCAGCATCTTCCTAATCATAAATTGTAATAACTTTCTGTGAGGGAGCTTTTAGAGGTGGACGTCTGGTTCCTATCACCACCACTATGAACAGTTATGACTCGATAAGTTTCTCTAGAATAGTTTCTCACACCAAACCACTCTGAACAACTTTGTTTACAAAAATTTAGCATAATTAAATGGCTTAGATGTAAACAGTCATTCAGAGTGGTGTGATCTGTGTGAGTCAGAAATTTACACAGTGGTAGTGATAGGAACCAGACATCTGAAACGTTATTACACAACAATATGCAATACAAATATGCCTGAGACACTGTTTCATGACAGATTTGAAATGAGGCATACTTATTTTAATAAAAGAGTTTTTAATAGTAAATGAACTTTCTATATTTGTGTTATAGATATCGCGAGGCCTGGTTCCTATCACCACCACTGTAAACAAATCTGAGTCTCTACAATCAACCGTTTCACACCAAACCACTCTGAATGACTTTGCTTACCACTGAATTATGCAGACATCTTGAAAAATCTGTGGAATTGTCCTAGAAACTGCAAGATGTAGCAACGATCATATTTAATGCATATGGTGCAGCCCTACTACACGACAGGCTCAGAGCAGAGGTAGTGTACGTGTATACTCTGTGGAGCTGAAGCTCAGTCATGTGAGAGTGAACAGCGTTCCTACTGCATGTATATGGATGGTTTCACTCACCCCTGACCATCACGCTGACCTGGTCCTTTCCTGTGCCGAGGCTGTTCTTGACCTCGCAGATGAAAGTGGCGTTGACCGTCTCATCCACTTTAGGCACGGTCAGTGTGCTCTCCTTCACCGTAACCGTATCCGGCATCAGACCAGAAATCCTGTCACAGCACATTAAAACAACGTCAAAACAACGTCAAAGAGTCCAATAATTTCCTTTATTTTACCTTCCCCCCCACTGAAATCCACATACAACAATATTCGTGTGAGTTTATGTACCAGAAACATTGCAACTTCTCCACGTTCCACATACGAAACGTAAAAAGAATGGCGTTTATTGTTTTCATGTGGATTTTCATATTATATCATTAATAAATATTCATTAAGGGTCCATATATCAATGATTAAGATTTATTAATGATATTATACATATATTTGGTGCATATGATTCTTCCCTCAAGCCTTTAACTAGCTTACTGTTGCTTAGTTTATATGCATATATATATATGCATATATATATATATATATATATATATATATATATATATATATATATATATATATATATATATATATATATATATATATATATAAATAAATTTCACTTCCTCATAAGTGATTGAAGCATAGCTCAACCTCTCTTTTCAGCAGATAGGAATGTGTGTGTGTGTGTGTGTGTGTGTGTGTGTGTGTAGATATACATATAAATACACACACACACACACACACACACACACACACACACACACACATACACACACACACACATACACACACACATATATATAATGCTTTTTTGGTTACTGTGCCTTTAACACTGATAAGACCTCTGTTTTGATTGGCTGCCCTAGTATTGGGCCCTGTTCAGGCTAAATCATACAGGTCAAACTCTTAAGTTTGTACTAAAGCACTAAAGTACTCAAGAACATTGGAAAACAATCAACCTACAGCCATTCCTTTCAATCCTGTGTGACCTCACAACCATGGTGAACTAAAAACAGGATGTTTCTGCTGCTTAATTTCTATATACGAATGTAACACTCGGGGAGTGAATGGTACATTTTAAAACTTGCAATAGTATTTTTCATACTACATCAAATAAATTTTGAATAAGTGTTTTTTTTTCTCATGATATGGGCCCTTTAAAGAAAAACTGCTTTATTACTGCAACAGCTGGGCCATCATAATCATAATAGGCGCATTTTATTTTTGGACCCAAACAGTCAAGATAATTGCAGGCAATCACACAGACAATGACATACTCTGAACAACCGTAAAAAGGGAGAGTTACATCGGTAGAGAAATTCCTATCTGCTGAAGAGAGAGCTTGAGCTATGCTTCAATCACTTATGAGGAAATGATACCAGTTGAAGGGGAATTCCACCACTTTTTTCCAAAATTTTTGCATAATAAAATGATTAAGATGAAATCAAAGTCATTCAGAGTGGTTTGTTGTGAAACGCTCAGTTCTAGAGAAATTGCAGAGTCAGAATCGTTTACAGTGGTGGTGATAGGAACCGGACGTCTGACTTCTAAAAGCTCCCTCACAGAAAGTTATTACAAGAAATGGTTATTAATTCACTGCCTGATGCTTGAGACAATGTTTTATGATAGTTCTGAGATAAAATTTTGGCTTAAAACGTATTTTTAGGTGGGTGTCATGAGCAAAAATAGTCCCCAAAGAAACCGTATTTTTGCTGTCGGTTTACTGGTGGTTTTGGATAGCAAATAAAATGGTTATATTTGTGTTGTGACCATCGTGACCGCTGTAAAGAAACCGTTGGTAATTGAGTAAGGAAGTTTCCCTACAGTGAACCATTTCACATCAAACCACTCTGAATTACTGTCAACATCTTGATGGAATTATGGAGAAAAGTTGAAATATGGGTGGAATTCCCCTTCGAAGAGTCAGGAGACATGGTTCCCATCTCTTCCTGAATGATCTTAAAGCCTCTGGCCTCCATCAAATCCAATGCCCTTGTAGCAGCCATTGACCATTACTGCTGCCAGGATAAGCTATTTATATATCATAGGTTACGAATAGGTCACAAGGCCTGAGGTTTAAGCTCATAAAGCTCAGGATGAACCTTGCTGAAGTCCAGCAGTGACTATGGAAACCAGGACCGGTCAGGAAGACGGAAGGAGGCTGGAAAGGAGGCTAATGGGGCTAATGGGGGCTAATGGGAAATCATTAAAAACCACTGATAGAGCCCTTTGAAGGGAGCTCATTGGGCAGCATTAGACGGACCAGAGGCCTGGCATTTGCACTGGAAACACTCACGTTCTCCAGGTGAAGGTGGTGGGAGCAGGGTTCCCCTGAGCCTGGCAGGTCAGCACCACGTTTGTGCGCCCTAAATACCAGTTACCATCATAGCCCACGATCCGCACCTGAGGAGGATCTGAGAGAAAAGAGGAGGAGGGGGTGTAGAAAGAGAAAGGTTAACCATGTGCTGCGAGCGTGAAGGTTTTATTTGAACATTAACTAGCACAACACGAGTGACATCAGCCCTGAGGCAGAGCGCATGCTAATCCAGTGCAGCAGCTCATACTACAGGTTCCTGACTGCCAATGAGCTTAATAGCCTTTAGTGTGGAACACATTTGTATTAGCGCTATTGAAAAACATGGTACTGTTTTCCTCCTGAGTCGCTCGAGTGAACCCGAGTGGCTACACAAACAGCCAGGCAGCAATCTGGAAATAATGAGGCTCTTGAGACTCGCTCTATTCGGCGGCTCTGCTAATGAACGGAATTGGCGCTCGGAACTGTGGGCGTACATTCGATCACCAGCTTCATGGGGAAAGTCTCCGGCTTGGTCAGCGTCCGGTGTGACACCTCGCAGCTGATGTCCTTGCCGTTGTCAGCCTGAGTCGGCACCAGCCAGTACTCGCTCTTCACCGTCACCGTGTTGTCCGAGTTGTCCGTCTTCGTTGGGATCGTTCCGTTGCCGCCCACCGAAGTCGACCAGGTGATGGTTGCCGGCGGACGGCCGTTAGCCGACACGCAGCGGGCCACGACGACCGCGGCTGTGCCGGCCTGTACGGTGACGGTGGAGGCGGTGTTCGAAGGCTTGGCTGGAAAAGAAAGAAAAAGAGATTTAGAGGATTTTTCTGATGTACAGTCATCAATAAGAATGGACAAACGCAAACTGCCCAGTGAAAAGCAGTACTAGAAGTCATCTACGTGCGTCCTCTGAGGCACGTGAAGCTCCACTACATCTTCTCAAATTGCTGGTAACCCAACGTCAACAGCTCAACACGTCTTGAAGGAGAACGCTGACCACTAATTCTGTTACGTCAGCTAAGAGAAGCCCAGCTAGCATCACACTGAGCGGTTTGCGGTGGTGGGGAGGACCATCCTAACCACTCAGAGAGGGAAGACAATCATATTTGGACACCTAGTCACGGACGGTGGAGGCATCACTGGGGATCAAACTCACGAGCCAGTGTTTAGATGGCTGCACCACTCAGGAGCCAAGTGACCATCTTGAAATCTAAAATTTAGTCTGGTAGCATGTGGTCTGAAACTGCTGCTGTCAGAGCAAAACATTGTACCTCCATTTTTTGTCATTTTTCCGTTTTTGACATAATTTGAAAGCACTTGCTGTCCTTTATATTGTGTTTAAATTTCATTATGAAAGTACCAAAAGAAACAGCCCAAAACTACATGGGGAAAAAACTCTGGTTCCATTGACTTACATTAGTATGAAAAGGTAAAAAAGTTACCATTTTGGAGATTCGAGGTTTTGCTCCGACAGCAGTGATATACAGGTGAATGATCTAGTTTACTAAACTGTAGGAAAAACACACGAATCACTAAACAAGTTTTTAATAATCTGATTTCAGCAGTTATCTGATCATTCAAGTGGTCATGTCAACATCACACTCCAACATCTTTGATCGAACTAAGGCCTAGAAATCTGAAAAAGAGAGCTGGATTTTAGCTCAGGGAAGGGGTTTTCCAGCACTTTGTAAACTCTTACTCTGATTTCTTTCACTTCTTCTCAGTCTGTGCATGTGCGAAAACAGGCTGCTGTCCCAGAAACGACAAGCAGCGTTTGACACAGCACCCGCGAGACGGCAACAAAACACTTTTGGACGCTGAAACCGACTACATGCTTGATGAAATGAAGGATTTAAATATTCTTCATCTTCTAGATGATGTACGTACATATTTTTCGCTAAAGTGACTCAATGCTTAACCTCTTACTCTCCAGCGTATATTTTGGTTTTTCCATCTGAATTCACATGACCAAACTGTAAGGCAAATTATTCAGTAACTGCATGAAATAAATGCAAATTTTTTATTTTATTTATTGATTTTTTTTTGTAAAAGCTCAGCTGAGCTGTTACAGCTGAAAGCCAAAAATCTTAGATGCTCTTTGTATTATTTTATAAAAATAATTTTTACAGAGCAGATCACTGAAGAGACGCCATCTGTTTATAGTTTATAGCCCAGATTTGTGGAAAAATGGGTCGACTTTCAGTACAAAAAAAAAAAACTGAGTTCAGCTTCTTTTATTATAAGGGTTTAAAATTACATCACCCATCTATTTGACTGAAAGAAGACAGTTACAGCTCTCATACGACCCCCACCTTCTGAATGTAGCTTATGAAATATGAACGTTATGAAGAATATGACAAAGTGCATTTTGGAACCACTGGTGGTCTCGAGGAATTTAAGAGGCTACAAATAAAAGTCATAGCATGACATTTGAGTTTTATGTTACGTTTATGCCACGTCTTATTTTCTGAGTTTATTGGCTGGTTGCAAAGCAGAAATCTAATTACTGCCTGACTCGTATAGACCTGGAATCTTCAGATTATCTGCTCACCCAAGTACATTGTAAACATGTTGAACACATTACTGACAAAATCTGATTGTCCGCAGTTATCAGATTATTAAGTGCATATATAAATGCACTCAATGAATTCAGGCATACTGGTATGTCATCATTTACCTGCATCAGTATTCACCAGCTGCACAATCAATCAATCATTAAGAGCCCCAGCGGGAGCAGGTGTAACGTTTTAAATGCCTGCAGTGAAGACTGGACTACATGTTTTATTCTTGGTCCATGACTGCAGTAACCGCAGTCACAGGTCAGTGTTTTGCTGTATGACGAGCAGCAGAGAGTAAATGTGTTTATAGTGTTTATAAATGTACAGAACTGCTGTTTTTCTTCAGAGACTCGACAGTCCGGCAAGTTTTCAGTGGCATTGACTAACTGCTCTTTATCCGTTGCTTAGTAACAAGAGGCTCACGAAGCATGTTGGTATACATTCAGCTGGTGTAATGATCCACAGTGAAATTACGAGTGCTTAAGTGTAAAATTTGGACTGTTATGATTTGAAATCTCTGGTCAACATATGTAATAGTATGTAAACGCAAACAGGGATCCATTTTGGTCAACACTTCCTGTAGTGTACTGTCAAGATACTGTGTGTATCTGTCAGAAGGGTCGCGCTGTTCATATGACCTGTTTTTTTTAAGGAAATGACAAATGTTTTCCATATTGAGCATCATCGAGTGTGTTTACATGCGCTCAATAATCCAATCATAATCGGATTTCTGCACTTATCTGATTATTCAAACTGTTACGTAAACAGCACACTCTGATTTCTTAAATCTCTTAAATCAGAGTAAGGTCTAGAAATCCGATAAAGAGGCTGGATTTTAGCTCAGTAATCAGATTTCTCGGTGCATGTAAACTCTTACTCTGATTTCTCAGTCTGCGCGTGTGTGAAAACAGACCGTGATACCAGAAATAAGTGAGCAGCGTCGCCGCGAGACGCAGCAAAACACTTTTGGAGCGAAATGTATTTGGGCTGAAACCAAATACATGCTTGACGAAATGAAGGATTTAAATATTCTTCACCGTCTAGATAAAGTATGTTCATATTTTCAGGTAAAAAAGTTGAGTTTTACGTTTACGTCACGTCTTCTTCTGTGAGTTTACTGGCTGGTTGCACAGCAGAAGCCTGACTCTTACTGCCCGACTCATGTAGACCTGGATTGACCCCCATTATCTGATTACTGAGTGCATGTAAACACATTCATTGAGAACTAACCTTGTGGGCTAATCGGTTAAACATTTTGGAGTCAGATTAACCTAAATTTCTGGCAAGAAGTCAAACATACACAGTTATTTTCTTAACCCAAACGTAGTGAATCGGCCACTAAAGCGTCCGAAGTTTGCTTCTTTAGTTTTGCACTGGAGCTACAAAGCTAATGTAGCTAACAATCGATGGAAGCCATGAGTTAGCACCGTTTCTGGCACTGTATTATGTATTTTTATCTAAACGTGGATAAATTCAACCAAATTCTGGCTCCTGGTTGGCTGCTAATACATTTTTTAGGTATGCGATGCACTTTTGTCCATTTTTACATATAACAGTACGTTATGCAGTGTTAGGAATCACATTTGTCTCATAGCTCCATTAACAACAAAAGCAGCGGAAAAACTAAAGAAGCAACCGCCAGACACCAAACACGTCTACGTTCAGAATCGGGGGGTAAAATTTTTTGTTTTGGCCGAACTGTCGCTTTAAGTTTCCACAAGCATTCGAGTGGTTAGAGTACGAGAGCACGGCAGCGCTGCCCTCCAAGACTTTGACCTTTATTTCTCGGCGCGCTCCGAGGGAAGAGAGGAAGAGAGGATGAAGGAGGGAGGAAGGGGAGACGGCCGCTTGGCTCGGCCCACAGCGCTCGCATTGTACCCGCGTTCCGCTTGGAGAAAGACATCAAAGCGAAGGAGAGGAGAAAAGCGAGGGAGACGGCGAATGACAGGAGAGGAGCGGCCTCTCAGCATGATAAGCAGGCAGATCAATAGAGGAGGGGAGGGGGGGCGAGAGCGAGAGCCCGGCCAAGGTTACTGCCACACTTCACACGCATTAACAGCGGCGCAATTGATCTGACAATATAATTTATAAATCCAGTTAAAGCCTGCAGGACAGAGGGGGGCACGGCGACAATCAGATACACAGTAATATACGGCGCAAAACATGGGTGTAAATCTGTGACCTCACGACGATTCGATTCGTCTATTTAGGAAATGATCTGGTGCCTCATGAAATCCTAAGTTTCAGCCAGATTCAGCTGAATTTGGCCATTTTGGTCCAATTCAGAACTATGTTTAAAAATACATAATTTTTATAATATATGAACAACAGTTTGTCTCCTGTTGCAAACGTCCAAGCTGCAAGAGGCTGCGATCGCCAGATGCCACAGCCGTCCGTCACCAGGACCCCAAGTGGGCATAATTAGCCTCTGGGTGGGCAGGATGGACCTCCCTCTTCCCCCATCACTGAGCGCAATGCTAGCCAACGCAGGCGTCTGTTAGCTGAAGCAACTGAATTAGCAGCTAGCATTCTTCTCCAAGTGTGTTGAGCTGCCCAATGATGTTGCAGTGCTGGCAGGTATGGTGGAGCTATGGTGGTGTTTTTACATAAACAGTACTGTGCAAAAGGCACTTAAGCACATGATTTAAAAGCATTTATCTTGGTATGAAGCGGGTCTGGGCTTGTAAAAACACCATACATCCTCAGAATAAGTGCAAATGAACGTAAATACTGTAATACGTAACAAGAATTTCTTGTTTTCAAAAAAGTAGCAGAACAAACTTTGGTTCCAGGTCTCTCCTGGACACCTCCAGCCATCACATACACTAGTTAAATTCCATCAAGAGTGAACCTGATTTAAGGTAATGAAGGATTGATCAACCAAACCAATTACAACGGTTAAAAAAAATACACAAACATACATTAAAGGTGCAGTGTGTAAGATTCAGTGGCATCAGTGGGGGAGGTTGAAGATTGCAACCAACTGAATTGCAACCCTTCCCTCACCCCTCCCTTTCCAAGCGTGCAGTAAAACCACAGGTTTTCTGCTGTCGTCTGTCCTGATTTCGTTTTGCTTCATGTTTTCGCTTTGTTGATGATGAGGATTCGCCCTCTTTTGCTTTTTCATGTGCTGAATTGTAAGCATGATCCTTTGTTCTCAAACTTCACACAACATAAAACGGTCAGCAACACCGACAGCAACACTGATTCTTCTTCTTTCTACGTCTTCTTTCTACGTCAATGATTCGTAGTTACAGGTGACTGAACACTAATGAACACATGCTTCTGTACATTGTATCCCACTTCTGCTAACAGATCCCTCTAAATCTTACACACTGCACCTTTAAATAACAACGTTTTGTAATCATGTTATTTTTATTTATGGTAATATACGCTTACTGACCAGGGTCCAGTTTCCCAAAAGCATCTTAGTGTTAATATCACTTTAACAGGTGGAGAGAGAGTTCACTGTGATGCTCACTCTACCATTTAAGAACCATCTTTGTGCTCTTTTTTTTTAAACATCAAATTGCATACCTTTGTAGATTTATATATAAAAAATAGCCAGTTGCAAAAGTTTAGGCACCCCTGTCAAATTACACATTGTTGATAAAATTGTTGAGTGTGAATAAGTGAACATACCCTCTAAAGAGAACACACTTCTGCACATTTTAATACACAATTACTGCTTATTTTTGCTGAATTTAACATGTTAACATATTTAACTATACAAACAATACAAGCTCTCCACTGCTCACCTAGTAAGACGAGGCTGGTGACGCCCTGCTCGTTCCCGCTGGGGTAAGTGGCGTATTCACAGATGTACTTTCCCTCATCAGTCATCTTAATGTCCGTGATCTGAATGGTGGGATTCTCCAGTTGGGGTGGGTCAATGGTGAAACTCACGCGGCCAGTCACCGGGGACTTCGGGTAATTAATTCCAAAGCTCGGATGAAACACTGCAATGTTGGTTCGGACCCCGGCAGCCGTTTCGAAAATCCATGACACCTACAGTGCAGAGAGAGAGGCAATTCAACCCAAACAGAGGCAGGATATCTATATTAACATGCAGTTACCTATAAAACCGATGAACGTTTCTTTCTACACAGATATACTGGTAAGAAAAGGAATCTTCTTTTACCTTAGCTTTAGTCACTAATTCATTTTTTGTGTTTAATCCTGCTTTGTGATTGGTCACATCTCTGACCTTCGAGCTTCAGCATCTTATTTTAGTCCAAAAGGTTCATCGAGAAGAGAAACAGAGTGTTACTGACTTCATTTTCTATGCTGATAGATACTGTCTAGATGTACTAGAGGTTTCACTGCAAACCTAAAGCTCACATACAGCATTTCAAACATAGAACTGTGTAAACAAACCACGCCTACAATTACGCTCATCATACTGATATGTCAATATTAAAGCACAAAACAAATATCAAATCAACCAAGAGCCAATCTTTATTTAAACTCAGAGTACACGGAGGGTGAAACTCCTGTGCAATTTAGCTAAGCGTATTATTGAAATGAATATTATTATTTTTATTATTATATGTATTTTATTATTATAAAATTATACACATTCAGGTTAGATATTCATTTTTATTGCCTTTTACAGTGGCACTTATTATCTGCATGTTATATATATTTTAGCAAAATCCCAAAAATGATAACTATAAGGATTCCGAAGAAAAATGTTGGACTTTTAATAACTTTTACGGCTTGAGTCAACAAACTATCATAGCACAGAAAGCAACTTCAAAGCAGGCAGACTTTCACTTTGTCACTACCGTCTATAATTAAACAATCTATTTTGGGTTTAATTAGCTTTTTAAACTATAACTGACGATATCAGACAGCTCTTCTGCAACTCACAACTGTACTTTTCCCCACGACCCACTTTTTTTTTTGTATTTATATTCAAATTATTTTTATTTTCTTTTGGAAAGGTACTTTCACTTTCACTGCAGGCATATCTTAGGGCCCATATCTTACAATTTTTCTTGTAATTTGTTTTTCCCTTGAGATTCACTGTTGCTTTGTGTACCAAAAACAACCAAAACTTATTTTTACATGATTATTCTCCAATATCTTTAGCCCGTTTTGGTTAATGAGCTCTGTTCTGATTGGCTGCCTTGTACTGCGTCTCATTGAAATAGCAGCCCGGACTGAAACACTCCTTATAACTTCAGTGTGAGTGGGCAGAGCTAAACTGCAGTGGGATGAATATGTGGATGTGTGTAAATGTTTTACTTTTCATGATCTCAGAAAAAGAAACAGTGAATTCAAAACAGTCTGTTCCAAAATATGGACTGTATGAACTACGGAGTGAATGGCATGTATGAAACTTCCAGTTGAAAGTTGAGTTATAATAATAATAATAATAATAATAATTTTTATTTATATTGCACTTTCCATGCTGGTGACAGCTCAAAGTGCTTTACAGACAGAAGGTCAGTATCCGCAGATCACGTGCTGGAACATAAACAGACGGACGGTCATTTAGAGCCTTAAAAACTAGTAGCAGAACTATACAGAACGATACAGGTATCCAGTGCAAGTCTTTCAAAACGGGAGTGATATGGTTATTTGTTTTGCACTATATGGGCCCTTTAAGTTGCAGCAGTTTTGCTGGTGGTTGAGTTTAGGCTACTGTACACCAGGGTTATTTTAAAAGATGAAAACCAAATAAAAACTATAATACCTACTGCAAAACTAAAACGAAGCAGAATTACTGAAAAAGCTAGTTTCTTTCAGTACGTGAACGGGAGTTTAGAAGCTGATCCCTTCTGTGTTTGGTTTTAGTGGAAAGCAGGAGCCGAGCTGAGCTCAGTCTACTGTTCGTTTCATTCTGCTCTTATTAAATACCTGCTGTCACAGTGTTCATCATAACACAGCGTTCATCATAATACAGCGTTCATCATAACACAGCGTTCATCATAACACTGAACACTAAAACTGAAACTACATAAACACCAAACTAAAACTACGACCTTTCAGAAAATAGGAACTAAACCAAAACTATTAATGAACACTTAACACTGCAATTTCCCTTCAGGACCAACAAAGTTCTTTCTTTCATTCTTTCTTTCTTTCTTTTGTTCGTTCTTTCTGTTCTTTCTTTCTTTTTCGTTCTTTCTTTCTGTTATTCGTTGTCTCTTTTTCTTTCTTTCGTTCTTTTGTTAGTTCTTTCCTTCTTTAATTCATTTGTTCGTTCTTTCCTTCTTTCATTCATTTGTTCTTTCGTTCATTTGTTCGTTCTTTCCTTCTTTCATTCATTCGTTCTTTTGTTCTTTCATTCATTCATTCTTTCAAAAGAAAACATTCATCTGTTCTTTCGTTCGAACAAACAAAAATAAAGAATAAAAGAATGAATGAAAGAATTTTTTCTTTCTTTCGTTCATTCATTCTTTCTTTCTTTCTTTTGTTCATTCTTTCTTTCGTTCATTCGTTCTCTTTCTTTCTAACCGAAATTAAACTGAAATCAAAAACCAAAATGAAAAACTAAACACAAATAAAAAAAATATTGAAAACCTAAAAAACTACACTAACTCTGCTCTGCACTCGTCTGGTCATTGATCAGCGATCAATAGCTGCGTTAATTATCCACACAGAGCCCAACTGCCCGTCGAGTCCGTGTGTTTGTGTGTCCTGCTGGACCGATTATAGTGAGGTGACCTCTGACCTGTGTGAGCTGAGTTTGGCCTGGATCAGGAAATTGGCACCGCAGGCTTACGACCTGCCCCGGATACGACACCACCTCCGACTGCACCTTCACGCGCTGAGCCGACGAACCTGCGGAGAGAGGAGGGAGAGGAGGAGGAAGAGGAGGTGCGTGAGAACAGGAAACTGCACTGCTTTCTGCCCGTCTGAGCGCAGACGACCTCTGACCTCAGCTAGGTTAGGAGAGTCTGAGAGCGTCCAGGGTGTGACGGTTCGGTCAAAACACACACTTTCCTGATTTCCCCTTTACCGTAAACGTAGCCACTCTGGAGTGAAGTCATCGCTCATAGACTCGCTTATATGGTTTCTGACCAATAGAACCAGGGACACTCAAGGAACCTTTTGCATGATTAAAGTGTTCTCAGCATTGTTAAATGGTTCTTCAGGCTGATGGAGAACATGCTATAGATGGTTCTTTTTGAGACCTTTGAGAAAAGTGTTCTAAATAGCACCAAAAAGCGTTCTTCTATTGGAACGATGTCAAGCCTGCAACAATAGGAGAACCCTTTTTTTAGTGCTAAATAGAACCATGTTCAAAAAAGGTTCTACATAAAACCATATACAACACACTCTCCATCAATCGGAAGAACTGTTCACGATGCAAAGAACCCATTAATCATGCAAAAACGTTCTTTGAGTGCAAAGACACTCTTAAAAAAGTCGCTTCAAGTGTTTTTTATTAAAGAAAATGGTTCTATATAGAACCATGAACACTCAAAGAGCCCATTGTATAAATAAAGGGTTATTTGCATCATGAAAGAGCTCTTCATATTGATGGGGAATGTGTTGTATATGGTTCTATATAGAACCTTTTTGAAAAGGCTTCAGTATAGCACCAAAAAGGGTTCTTCTATATCATTACAATGTCAAGCTTGTAACAATAGAGGAACACTATTTGGTGTTATATAGAACCCTTTTCGAAAGGGTTGAACCATCTACCCTCTTTTCAAGGGTTCTTTAGTAAAGAAAATGGTTCTTTATAGAACCACTAACACTTAAAGAACCCTTTGCATTGAAAGGGTTATCTCCATCAGGAAAGCTTTAAGAATGTCTGTAGATGGTTCTATATAGAACCTTTTTGAAAAGGGCTCTACGTAGCACCAACAAAGGTTCCTCTATCGCTACAATGTCAAGCTTGTCGCAATAGAAGAACCCTTTCGGTGCTACGTAGAACCCTTTTCAGAAAGGCTGAACCATCTACAGCACATTTTCCATCAACATGAAGAACCCTTTTACCATGCCAAGTGTTCCTTGAGTGTTCATGGCTCTACATAGAACCACTTTCTTTACTAAGAACCCTTTTTTAAGTGTGTAAGACACTCCAGCCGAGGACTGTAGGTTGTAGGTGTATCTATAAGGCCCGACGCAAAGGCTGTAAAATGAAACCTGCTTTACCAGAACCATTTATCATCCTCCTCCTCGCTGACAGAACATATTGCGAGCGTTTGTTCTGCCGGTGTGGATTCGGTGGAAAATGCATTCTGAGTACGTGAAGCAAAACAGGGAGGAAGACAAAGAGGAAGCGAAACCGTATACTAACAAGTGTTTTCCAAGAAAACTTCCAGTTTATTGACTCTATTGACAGAACCTCAGCTCTCTCGGGAGGAGGAGGAGGACGAGGAGGACGGGGCGCGAGCGGCGGCGCGACGGTCCGCTGTGCAGATTAGCTGTGGATACAGGTTCTGCGCCCCTGAGTTCAGGCATTAAAACATATTCCAATTCCAGCTCGCTCGCTTTCTACAATGAGGGAAATGACCTCGGGGGCAGAAACTTGTTCTTGCTGAAGCGACGCAGCACTTTCTAATCTTTCTAATTCCACATTCAATTGGAAAAACACTTTCAGCCTCAATTTGTGAGCTGATAAAAAAAAAAGAAAACACGACAGCCAAAGTGAAAAACACCATCCGTCACTGTTATATTCATAAGCTGAGGCTCATTCGTCCCAGACTGACAGATTTAGAGGGGAAAGCTGTGTCGCTGTGTTTGGACTGAACTGCTGTCACTGATTAGCGTTTATATGCTCAGTGCAGCCCTATTATAAAATCACCGCGTCAATAAAGCTTCCGAAATTAAAGTGAGGTTTCGTTTTAATCGTGAGTCCGAGGCAAGCCTGCGAGTCAGTTAAGTGAGTTAAGCAAATCAGTGTCGGAATCACGAGTCAGTTGAGCATCAGTTAAGCACGCACACCAATCTAGAGTCAGATAAGCGTGCGCCCTAGTCTTGAGTCAGTTAAGTACGCATTCTAGTTTTGAATCAGTCGGCGTGCGTTCGAGTCGAGTCAGTTAAGCGTGAGTCCGAGTCGAGTTGTTTAAGCGCGCGTTCGTGTTGAGTCAGTTAAGCGCACGTCCGCGAGAGTTGGTTAAATGGGCGCCCGAGTTGTGTCAATTAAGTCACTGAAGTGTGTGTCCAAGTCATATCTCGAGTCAGTAAAAAGTGCGTCCAAATCAAGAGTCCGTTAACTGAATGTCCAAGTCGAGAGTCAGTTAAGAGCGCATCTGAGTAGACAGTCAGTTAATTGTGTGTCCGAGTCTTGAGTCGCTTAAGTGTGTGTCCAAGTCAAATCTCGAGTCGGTTAAAAGTGCGCCCAGGTCCAGATTCAGTTAACTGCACGTCCAAGTCGAGAGTCAGTTAAACGTGTGTCCGTGTCAGGAAACAGTTCAGCGTGTGTCCAAGTCAAGACTCGAGTCCATTGAAAGTCAAGGGTCAGTTAAGCACACATCTGAGTCGAGAGTCAGTTAAGCGCATGTCCATGTCAAGTCAGTTAAGCGCGCGTCAAGTAGTCAAGTCAGTTAATTTTGAGTCCAAGTCTCATGTCAGTCAAGCACGCATCCAAGTCTTGAGTCAGTTAAGCATGTGTCCAAGTCAAAAGTCAGTGAAGTGCGAGTCCGAGTCGAGTCGCAAGCCTGTCAAGCTAAATGCAGCAGAACCAGTGTGGCGTAGCTTATATAATAGCGTATATGATTCACTAACTGGCTCTATATTTACATCACTTTCATCACTGTCATCATTTCTCGCCTCATCAACAAAACCAACCAAAAAATTATTGCAAAAACCGCATTCGGCTACGCAGAGATCAAAACAAACATGTTTCCTTTTCCATCTGTTCGGAATCTGTTCATTCACCAGTGTGCTTAATATACTGCTCGGAGTATCACCATCACCATAGGTAGTAATAAAAACCAGAACACTGGTATTTTATTCATATTGGGCAGCATTAGCGCATTTCCACAAACCAGACAACATAAACAGAGCATTAACACGAGAGATATGGGTGATACGTGGTCAAATAGGGAAGCAGAAGCGAGAGAGAAAAACAGAAGCTGTGTGTCATTGCTGCTCTACTTTACAGTGCTGTCCTGCCTGCAGGTAACACACACACACACACACACACACACACACACACACACACACACACACACACACACACACACACACACACACACAGAGGAAACAGCGCCGGTCTAAATCACACAAACACCATCCTGTCCTTTTCTGAGCGCTGTCACCAATCATCACGTCTCACACACACACACACTCACAGGCGGAGGGACACCTCGGCCATATGAAAGGTCTAATGAAGGCCTGTTCTGAGTGACATCTACATCCCTCCATCCTCATCCCTCCACCACCCCTCCATACCCGAGGCGCCGAGGTCAGGAAATCAGCCGGACAGAGTGGCGATGAGTCAGTGAGCGAGAAGCGCAGAGCATTCAGACTGAAGAGTGGATCAGATAGCCTGATTACATTAACCGCCCTTCACTATGTGGCCCCGTTCACTCTAATATACAGCACACGGCTGTTGACGTTCTAAGTGAAAGTAAGTTCTATACAGACAACACCCAGGGTGCTATAACTTTTGCACTACTTTTGGTTTTACTTTTTCCTCCCCAATTATTTTAAATCCATTAAATTGTGCATTAAAATGTATTTTTTGTATGTGTTACATTACATTCACTTAGAAAAGCAACAAAAAACATGTAACATACGTACAAGGGGAGGACAGAATAACGGAAACACCACATAGGCCATTTTATCAGAAACACTTAGACCATACAGGTGCAATATTCTCGACTGTGCGCATTTCTGAGCTACCCATTAATTAGAACAATATAACTATTGGTCAGTGTCAATGCTGGACTGAAAAGAGCCCCCCACCCAAAAACATCCAGCAAGCAGTGTCCTGTAGCTGCTGATGAAGGACTAGAGGATGATCGGCACAAACTGAGCGGCAGCAGATGAGCTACTGTCTCCGACTTTACATCTACAAGGTGGACCAAGAAGGTAGGTGTGTCTAATAGAGTGGACAGTGAGTGGACACACTCTGAATCTGATCCATGCGTATCTGCACAGCATACACTAGCACTGAGAAAGGAACGCCACTTATATACTAATACCTGTAAAGCAATTCGGTGGTCAGAAACTGCCCAATGATGAATGGAAGTGTTTCTAATAAAGTGGCCAGTGAGGGGGAACACACAGTGAAGGAGAGAGAGGCAACAGCAGGAGGTAATGTGGAGATATGAACAGCTGCAGGGCTCTACAGGGAGGAGGTGTGTGTGCAGTCAGATGTTCGAAGGTGTGAAAGAGTGTGTGTGTGTGTGTGTTTGCACGTTTGTGTGTGTGTGTGTGCGCTGATGTTTGAAAGTGTTCTTGGAATACATTTGACCGTGTTAGTTGAGATACACAGAGCTTTAAAAGGGTTTCTATATCTATATACTTTAATAAGTGCAATTTTTGAATAGCAAGTGCTGTAGTTTTATAACAGCCTACAAGTCTAAACAAACAATAAATACGTCAAACCTGTGTTCTGTGTACATGACAACCTCAACCACAGATAACTGGCCGTCTGGTAGAACATGTTCAGTGTTCAACCCTAAAGGCAGAACAAGTGGATGATCTGGTCTTCATGGCCAAACAAAGGCCTGGAATTTTATTAATTACAAATAACTAATTTAAATCACAGTCTCGATATTTGTCAGAAAAACTGCAAATCAACCACCTGGGATACCACAGCAACAGCCTGGCAACCCCTTAGCAACCACCTGGGATACCACAGCAACAGTCTGGCAACC